CATCGGATGACACTACACGAACACGAGATTGTTTTATAAGAGAAGTTTGGGTGACAGTCTGACAGTACGTTTGACGTACCTTTTTATCTTCAATTGTACGTACCGAAACATACTCCACTGTATAGAGGACGTTAAAATTCACCCTCTGAGGTAACAAAATTTACGGAAAACTAAACAGTGAGCGGATAAAAGGCACACGAAAGTGCGTTGAGTTAAGGTTATGTTGTCAAGCATTCATTTCAGAGGTTCGACGGTCAGGGTCAATATGTGATTGTTTTCCGGGATGGGACCGTATTATTTCAGTTTTTGGGCTCAACTTTTCGCACACTTTTGTAAGTGGCATCTTCGGGAGCAGGGTTGAGATTGAGAAATTAGGAATAACGCAAAAGAGCACGGTAACTCAGTATGTTAATCACACCAGAGGCGAAACCATTCTGGCAGTAAGAAAGTGGTTGTGACCTTTTTCTAGAGTCGAGAGAGAGAACTAGGAAAAAAAGAGAACGACAGAGAGAGAACTTGGGTAACAAATGAGATTTTAATAAAAATGTCAAGCAATAATTCCAGTTTTCCATTCTTTAATCTCTACATGTCACTCATCACTATTTAAAACAAAGACTGCTTATGGAATTTCTTTTTTAATGTGTATTTTTAACTAGCGCGTGTACTTCAAAATGCATACTATACGCATATTTATCTGTCCTAATCTGATCTAATACTACCAAACGAGCCGAGTGAAGCTCGGTCAACCAGATATTATAGTATATTATTAGCCAAGGTTGCAGAGCCAAGCATTCTAGACCGAGCGCAAATTAGAACCCGAGACGCGCAGCGTCGAGGGCTCTAAGTGCGAGGTCTAGAAGTGGCTTTGCAACCGTGGTTAATATACTATTTTTTTCACTAGTAGAAACCATAAGACACTAAACTGAAAAATAAACGTTCAATTTTTTGACGCAACATGATTTTGTTTTGATTTCTAATCAAATTTGATCTAAATCTTCAACACAAAGAAAACCGTTTATACTTGTCGCTGAGTTAATCATTTTATCTTCCACCGTCTACCAACTACCATGCGTATACTCAAGTAATGTTTGTAGCACACATTTGTTCATTTTTTAAGAAATAATCACATCAAACATTGCGTACATAACCTCAATTTTTCTTTTTGAACCCGTGGTAGCAAAAGTTGAATTTGCTACCACTAAATGAGTCGACATTTGCATGCGTCCAGGCTGCTAGTGAAAAAAATAATAAAGTGCTTTACACTCACATAATGCAAGTCGCTAACCCTGTCCACACACCACTGCACTTTTCCATTGGAGTTCACGAGCATAACGTCGTTACGCCGAAAATGGGCTTCGAGCCCACGATTCATTATTCTTCTCAAGGACATTAAATTAGATTTCAAATAGGGAACATGGAGTGTATCATCACTGAAACCTTTCCTGTTTCACGGGACACGTACGCCACGAACCGTACCGTACCTACGCTCATTGTCGTTCGCGAGGTTTAACGTTCCTCTCTTCGAGCGGTTGGACTTCATCAACTGACTCAACTCGAGGCACCGCTATTCAAACACCAATTGAGGCTTGGGTTGATCGCCTCATACTTTGCTACCTTTTTGCATGCCTCTCGGTCTCAGCCTTTTGTGTACTTCGACACTCAGATGCCTTATGCAATGGCTGACCACACTTGAAACTTGAAGTAGCTTAGGTTTTGTCGGCGACCATCACCAGCTTCTGCGCGCGTCGTTTTCCTCAATTATTATAATTCGGAGCGCTTCCGCCGTCGATAAATTCGTCTCGCAATTCGATAACACAACGAAACACGTCGAAATTCGCAAGTAAACTATATAGCAGCAATACTGTTAAAAAATCGAGCTTGATTTACAAATCCATATCACTCAAATTGTCCACGACGTAGCAAAAATCACGCAGATGCTTACACATGTCGGTGCCATCGGTGATCTTGCATAAGATGAGGCTCGCCCTTCTCGCAGATCCCTTCTGGTGGTAAATTTCCTCCAGACGTAACCATATGCTTCGGACGGTTCCATTGAACTTGTCGATGATGTCCGACCTCGCCAATGGCTGCCGCGTTCGTCGCTGTTGGCTGTTGCCTCATTTGACTTGACGGTGACGCTGTTCTCATATTACCACAAGTCGCCCTTGGTCAGCACCATCTGCATTTAGAGATTCCACGTATCGTAATTAAAATTATCCTTGTGCACGCACACAGACACATATATTAAAGACACGCGATTCTGTTATTCGTGAACCCATAACCTGTTGACGCAACCAGGAAAACAAACGGAATCAAAAGTGTATATTAAAACACGATTAGCAATTAAGCATACATCACAAAATATTAGTAAACGAACGACGGAGCAATGGTACTCGTACTGACGTCAGTACTACTGTCTATTTGACAAACATTCTAGAAACTCTGATTACACTTCTGTCGGGGTGCATGCTCGCACTCGCAAATGTAGATGGAGTTCCAAAATTTGATTGGTTCCACAAGTGAAAATAGCACACGTACACTTTCCATTTTTCCCAATATTTGTCTTGTGCTGTTAGCCATAATTTGTAGACTACTTCAACATAGCAATGATCTACAAAAGTATATCTACATTTCATGGTATAAGGGTCCACAACAATGCCTTCTTAAATTAGATACTAGAGACCACTATACAAAACATTGCAGTATTAATTTTCTTAATTTATAATAAATTAAAATCTTCGGTATGCATAGATAAGAATAACCAATTCCACATTTAAAAAATTGTTTTTGTACTGTAAAATTAAAACTCATTATTTTCTATTACAAAGCAGTTAAATTTTCTTGACACCGAGTAAAAAAAATTTTACAAATAAATCATTACGAATTAGCGCGTTTTGGATTAAACATACTTGGCTTTTACTCGCAAATTATAAGCTACAAGAAAAAAATAACCAATTTATTACTTCCCGAGCGTAAGCTAAGGCCGACTCCCTGCTCTTATGTTTTCTCCACTTTTCATAGTCGCTAGAGTACGAAAAAATAGGTCTCTCGTTTCCGTCTATTTGTCCGGATTTTTGTTAGACAGATAATCTCCGAAACTACTGGACTGATTGTTGGTAAGCTTTTGTATGTATATTAGGCATATCATATAGATGGTAAAACATTAATCAACATTTGGCTACTTACCCTACCAACAATTTGATGACGTCCACTCATTATACTGCATAATTAACAACACCGATTTCGTATGAAATAATATGCTCCCGTACCTACTTGTGGTTTACAAATCTTGTCTTGATTTTGTTTATTATTACTATATTTGTTTATTGTTTAATCCGCCTTGTTCTTTAGCAACATAATACGTAACCTTGTTACAGTCGACGTTGCTCAGTGGTAACATCTCTGCTTCACAGACCCAGGATCAACGGGATGAAACTAGCGGGCGGCAAACCTTTTTTTCATTAGATAAAATAAATTTAATAAAATTAATCACTCTCCAATTTTTCAATGATCAAATTAAGAACTAGTCGCCCCATTTTATCGAAAATGTGGAAATATCCACGTCTTTATAATAATAACAATGATAAAACAAGAACATTTTGTTCGAATGAGGCTGATTAATAATTTTAGTCCTCTGTTTTGAGACGATAAACTCATTCAAATCAAACAAATTTCTACATGACACAGTTTCACACTTCAAGTTTGTTACGCATGTTGCTGAGAGGCCATTTTTCCCGTTAGTCATCTGTTGTAAATATATTTTACATCGTGCATATTTGTACAGTGTCCGGCCAGAGGTGAATTTATAGGGATGCTTGTGATGCTGGAGCATCAGGCCCCCGAAGTCAAGGGGCCTCTTCTAGCCTAACTATAAAGAAAAATAAAATGTATTTGTTTTTAATTAGCTTATTAAAAAAATACAATTTCGTCTTCGCCTGAGCGTTTGTTGACACATGTAATCTCGAAATTCTGCAAAATGCAAAACTGGCCCCTTCCTACCGTTCCAGTAATTTATGACTTGCAGCCAGTCAGCCACCTACATAACGAAGCTCCGGCAGCCGAACGGTTACGTTTTGTTTTCAGTATCATTTTCTCGTTTTTATTTTGCTTTCCTGTTCGTTCAGTAATTTCAAAAGTGTGCGGTACCTTCTACCTATTTCTCAGCGAATCTTATAATTTGTTAAAAATTTAAAAAAATCACCTCTATAATTAATTTTGTGTGGAACTATCCTTATTAAAAAAAAATAACACTACAATTTATTCATTAGGTATTAGATTAAATAATATGTCCGAACGCAAATAATATCTCAGTGGAAGCTAAAAAAGGAAACTTAAGTTTCAACATGAATAGTTGGTAAAATATCGAAAAGTCCCAAGTTTTTTTACACCTCAGCCTTTCTTCTTTTTCCTACATAAGATTAAAGTATTGAAAATATTTAAATTAAATTTGCTATCCAGCTCCCAATTATAACAGGAAAAAAATAGGCCCCAAATAGGTCCCTAAGAATGTAGATTGCCCCTGGGCGTCCCCTTGGAATTTGCGCCTCCACGGTGTAGGGGCTGCGAGGGTGTAATTTATGACGCTGGTTTTTCCTTTGTAGAGGTTATCTCAAAACAAATATCGCAAAATCTAATTTTATAATTTTTCAAAGAAGCGGGATTTGTAGGATTTATACTGGAAGTTTTGTCGGAATAAACTTCAACCAATTTTTTTATTGCAGTTGTTGTTGCCAGTGGCTTAAGTAATAAACGTGCCTTGAATGATTTACAGTTACAAAGCAATTTTTATTTCATAAAAGATGCAGCATGAAATAAAGTCACGATTCATATTCTCCGCTTTCGATTAATACTAATAGTCTACTAAATTTCCGGTTCAATACATGATTTCGACGTCGCTTCTCCCCTACTCTAATCCACTTTTAGTTAGTTGATGGGTTAGTGTATGATGGAAAATACGTGTTAATGTTTTTTAAATTTTAATTTTGTTCTTCATATTTTAGGGCGAACAGCAGACTCAGATCCATCCTATGGCATAAAAAAAAATCAGCACGTTCGGTATGGAAGTTTTTATTTCAGAATGGGAGTCACAGGTAAATATGAAAATGCATCCCCTAAATAAAGGACAAGAAAATAAAAACAAAACTTTCTTGTTTTCAGGATTTGGAATCGGTTCAGTTATTTACTCAGGCTTGCAGTTCGGCCAGTATTTTGAACTTTCTTCTCAAAAGGATTGCGATAATGTGCTTAAGGCTGTAAAACCACTTCTGAGAATAATATTTGCTCTTATGCAAATGTTGTTTATATTTTCTTACAGCAATGTAAGTTTTGAGAGACGAATGGATTATTCGCTTAAGATTTATCGACACAGTTCAACATTTTTAAGGGTATTCCAATATCTAAATACGTATGTAGATTTATACGCAACATGCTCGCATTTCTCATCCTAACATTTGCTATACTTCAAAATCCCGTGTACATGTAAACACTTGTCCAGATTTACGTTAAATCGTCTGAATCCCGAACTAACAACGTCGTCAGTTTTTAGATATGCAGAGAAGTAAGATTATTGCCAGATTTGGCCTGATGCATATGATTGCAACAAACGTATGCGAATGGCTTTTCGTCTTGATCGAGGAAACTCAACACGACATTTATAAATCCGCAAAAAAGCGCCAGGACAACGCAGCGAGAGATAACGTATCCTTGTCGGAAATGGATTTCAAGTTCTTAAATTCTACCACTTTCACTATAACAAAACAAATGTATGAACATAAAGTGAATTGTCTTCAGTCGAACATAATGGAACCAATCTTAATTAAATCAGAACCGTATCTGGCGCCTTGCACGGTTGAATATAGTTTACTATGTGCAGTTATTTTAGGATTAATGTGGAAGAATGCACAGTATTATGAAAATACAGGTCAGTTTCTTAAATAACCAATTACAACAATTTTATTATATTTCGCTGACGCTTTGTATTATATTGCAAATTATATTTTTTTTATAGATACCCGTGGTAACAATTCTCCTGAGGCTGAAGAAAAACAAAGTGGTTGCAACGTTATCTACAGCTCAAGACAATCTCAGTTTTCAGTAGACTGTGCTCAAGCGCATAAAGGTTTGTTTACAGGAATTCTTGTTTTAGCTGTAACCGTTATCAGCTTAATTATGTTTTTTGAGTTAGTCGGATATAAAGAATACCAGGATATTGCCATTTTACAGGTACGTATTGACACCTATGAATGACCATTAATTAATACCTTTGTGACGTTACGTATTTAAAACAGTTACTTATACCACACTTGCTAAAAACGCTAATTTGTTTTACGAGTACTTTTCCAAAACGAAGCAGAAGTGTGAATATAGGTACAGAACGCCTCAGTGGTCTAGTGACGAAAGATTACGCTTTTATAATTGTTTGCCATCATTTCCAAATACACAAGGTGTTCCGTTTAAAGGTTACATACCAAAGTTGTATTTTTTTTAATATTTGGTTCTATGTAATAAAATGGTCGTATTTAAAAATTCACAACCCAACCTATTAGGTGGAGATATGGAATTTTAGACAGAACTTTTTTGCCACCTTGTCTTTACATAGTTAACTGGTAGCCCGAACTTATTTCCATCAGACTCAGGCTGTTTTTTTAATAATTTCTTAGAAATCTAGGGAGATTTATTAGGGATACAAACTCCACGAATAAAATAAATGTATATTTAATACTTGTATTACACAAATAATAATAAGATATTATAATGTTAACAGAGGCAAAATACTCAATTGTGTAAAAAAATAGGAACATAAATAGTGGAAGTGGAGTAACTAATAGAAAACAATTATATTAATTACGTAAGTACCTTAATAATTACAACAAATGTTCAAAATTACGACCCTGGTTGTTGATAGAAGCTGTATATCTTCTTCGATTACTCTTTTACACATTTTCCAACATTTCCTCTGTAAAAGTTGCTACAGCCGCAATGATTCTATTTCGCAGATCTTCTTCATTTACTGGTAGAATGTCATACTCATACACTCTAACCTTCATAGTACCCCAGAAGAAAAAATCTAAAGGGTTTAAATCTGACGAAAGAACCGGCCAATACTGTGGTCGCCCTCGCCTGATCCAACGATTTTTAAAATTTGTATTTAGCCACCGTCTGACATCTACAGCAAAATATGTAGGGGCTCCATTCAGTTGAAACCACATGTTACTTGCTAGTGGAATATCTTTTCTTAATGATTAATATTTGTTATTTAAAAAATGAAGAAAACTTTCACCAGTTATACGATTGGGTGATATATGTGCTCCAGGAAGTTGATTATTAATTATTGTAGCCCAAAAATTAAAAGCAAATTTATATTGATGTCCTCTTACTCATACAACTTGTGGATTTTCTAAAGCCCAGTAGTGATTATTACGCAGGTTGAAAATTCCTTCCCGCGTGAAAGTAGACTCATCAATCAATAATATGTTTTTTATAAAGTCATTGTCTCTTTCAAATTTCCTGAGCAGCCACTGACAAACTTCCGTCCGGGATTGAAAATCTCTTGGTGTTAAAGCTTGGACTTTTATAAAACGGTATGGAAGGAAATTTTCTCTCTTTAAAATTTTTGGCACTAATGTAAAGAGAATTCCAACATCTTGTGCTCTTGTACTTCGTAATGTCTATGACTTGTTCTTCTACTCTTGATGTTCTTGTTGTTCGGGGACGGCCTTTGTCGTGGTTATCAATCATTTGTGCAATGTTCCCAGTTTCTCTCAAAAGTTGATTAAGCCTCACAGATACATTTTTGTTTGGGTGGCGTCTGAAAGGGTAACCCAAAGCGTATTCTCTTGCCGCAGCAGTAAAATTTCCATTGCAAACTCCCAGAATAGAAAACATATCACAATAATCATTTCGTTATTTTGTTTCCATTGTTTGTTCAATATCATTACCATGGTAAGACACCCCGACAAAGGAAAGTGGATCATTACCTTGCAAAGTTGCCACTGTTGGTTCACAGCTAATTTCAAGGATTTTAAAGACCTTGTAGATTCTTTATTTTTAAAGATCAGATATTCTCAGTGAGTAAGCTTGTTTTTTTGTGATAATATGTATGATTTAAAGCAATTTTAACGAACATCAAATGAATAGATTTTCAATTAATTTATTTTTTGAATGTCATCTTTAAAGACCAGTAAATCAAAAAGTGCCTGAGAATTTTTTTAATATTTTTCCGGTGATGACTGTAGTCCGTTAGTACGCCATTTTTGATACACTGATGTGACATTTGTATTCGATATATGGGATGAAAAGATAGATAGATGGCTGTCGCTATAGTGACACGCTGTATAGCCGAGTTTCCCTAAGTTTCTCAAAAAAGAATCTAAAGTTTTCTTTCACGTGTAATAATGTTTTAAACTTGCAGGGTGATTTCAAAATATATGCAATAATTGTAACCACAACATCACGTATCGGAGTAACGTGGAAATAAAAAAAACAAATTAAAAGTCAAATGAGGCAAAAACCCCAGTAGGTGGAAAAAAGTTCAAATAAAAATGATGTAAACACTTTCAGTTTCAATTAAAAGTTAAACCGACGTTTTGCTGATTTATCATTCGTTCATTCTTACATATTTTTCATTCATGTGTTGAAGCTTTTTAATAGTTTCTGGACACTGTTGATTTTCATAAACTAACTCGTGGTACTGCCGCGTTTAGTCTATTTGGTACTACATAAGGTCCAACTAAGCGATTATTTACTATACCGGCCCGCACTTTTATAGAAAACCGTCACTGAAATCGTACTTCTTGACGAGCGTGTGGATCTTCATCGGACCAAATGTGAGTGTTGTGGCTGTTGAAAACAGCATTGCAAGTGAATCCTGCTTCATCCGTAAACAAAATGCAATTTAAAAAGTTAGGGCATTCACAACATTGCTGTAACAACCATTCGCAGTAAATTACACGACGCTACGTTGAAAATCAGCAGGTTCCAAAGCTTGCAGTTTTTAAACGTGGTAAGGACGTAGATCTTGTTCTTTTAACTACAGACAGGGACACTCCAATTTCAGCTGCAAGTCGGCGAGTGCTGATGTCGGGCTCTTCTTCGACGCGTTCCAAAATTTATTCTTCAGCTTGCAGTATTCTTTCGGTCCTAACACGGCCACGATCTTGAGTTTGATATATACTGCTACCACTTAAGACCGTGAACTTTACACAGTGCAATCAATCTTATTGTGAGCTATTCCCCTTTTTTATTGCACACATTTCGAAATCAGAAGGTATAGAAGCCTGGTGAGAAAAAATACCAAATTTTTGAAAAATGGGTTTACAACTGTCATAAGGTTTACTGTTGTTAATGACTCCAATTGGACTTTTTTAAATTCTAAATAATCTTTCATTGTGGTTAGATGGTCCCCATAAAATTAAAACATATACCAATTAGCATTCAAGATTAGAATAGTAAAAGGTGATTACTGATATACAACTTTATTCAGTTTTGGAGCCAAGTTTTCTACATGATCTTGTGACATTAGCTTGTTGTCCACATTAAGTCCTAATAGTTTCACCGAATTTGTAACAACTTCATTATTTGAGCTGAATTGTAAATATTGTGTCTTATTGTCATTCACAATAAACTTATTAGTTAAAAACCAGCTTTTAGCAGATTCTTAACTAACTTTTTCTGCATCTGCAAGATGGATTGTCACATTTTGCAACGTTTAAAATTATTGTATCGTCTGCAAATAAAATTTGGCGATGACTTGGAACATTTGCCTATATATCATTGAAGTAAATCAGAAAAAGGAACAAACGAAAATGTGAAAAGAAATCAAAAACTGAAAAAAAACTGTAGCAAAAAATCTGTTGTATTTGTATGTTTATTTATTATACAGGTGCAAATTTATGTTAGTATATCAGTAGTTCAATACATACAATAAAATAAAGGTCTAAATTGAAAATCCATAGGGTACAATTTCACTGGAAACGTTTTTATAATCTGTAATACCGAAAACATATAGGATTTGCATTATACATCAAGCGTCTCTATATTTCCCAAATTTTCGGTTTAAAGAACTTAAAATTAAATTTAAAACGTGTGCTTCGCTTAGAAAGTACTTTGCAGAAGTGATCTTCTAACCCGAGTGTCACAGCTACTATTAAGGACGCAACAAAAAAAAATGATTGTATTTTCAGTAAGCGTCTTTGAGTCTTTTGTGTTATCAACGTAAAGATCTACATAGCAGAGTTGCGTATTTTACTCATAACTTTAATTATCTTTCCTCGCAGTGGAAACCGAATTGTAAAAACTGTCGCGAGTTTGTGATGAATTTTTATGTTTTTTTGTCGCGAGTATTTCGCAGTCAAGCTTTGTTATAAGCAAGCGTAAGGTATTTTAAATATTATAGAAAAGAATAGAAGGCAAAGAGAATCCGTAGAGATTTAACTTTATAGTAGAAACATGAAAACAAACTGCCAACCTACATATTTAATAAAGAAAATTTTAAATAGGTAATTTCTGGTGTTTGATATTTTTATCTCCACCCACTTGAACACTCCGCAACCATGCGGAGTATTGTCGAAAGAGTTCTTGAATAACGAAGTTTGTTACGTAATAGATTCGAGTAGAAGAAGAGAGTAATAAGCTGAATGTCTAAAAAGTAATATGTATCGGAAAGTTCATTATTACAAACTGTAGTAAATGCAGTTGTTATTAAAAAAAACTTGGATTTTCGATCACACAAACAACGAAAAACAATTGTTGACGCGTTTCGCCAACCACGTTGACATTATCTAGACATATCTCAGATAAACTAAACAGTTTAGATTTTTTGTTTTTCGGTGTTTGTGGGGTGATGCTAAAACGCTACCCAAAATTTGTCTAATCATTCCCACCAATGATTGATGATGTCCCCTATCATTTTGAGTACTGAAAATTATCTAAATTTTATAAAATAATGTACTCTTCTACTTGTGCTTTATGAACCCGCCTTGATTTTTGTCGTAATTGCTTTGAAAAAAAAATTGTATGCAATATTTTCCATGTATTTTATGTAGCCGATATCTCGCAATTTCTTCAAATACGTCGTGACCGAGTAACTGTCGGATTTTTTTACTTATATCATAAAAAATATAAAATTTTGCAAAATCAAATTTTAACTTTTTCTAAAAAACGGAATTTGTTCGATGTATTAAGGAGCGAGGGAAGTTCTGTCTAAATAACCATAGACCTTTTTTTTTCTTACACTGTGGCAGGTGTTTTTTTAACTGGATTTATTTGATTGTACTTAAGAGTTAGAAAAGTGCTATCAAATATCATTCGACCAATTTTGTTAAACTTTATTTTGACAGTGCAATAATTTCCAGAAAGAGTTCGAAAAAAAAAGCGAAAGTTCTTCCATAGCAGTTAAAGTAATTTTAGCTAGCCAATTAAAATGAAACATCCTGTGTACTATTGATTAACGGCAAAGGTAGTGTACCATAACCGATTACAAAAAGGTTCCCTCTGAGTGTATTTTACGCTACTAATTAAAGATCTCAGAAACAATAAACTGTGAAGCGTCATCTTATAAATGTTTTTACAGTAAATCAATACCATTTATCAAGAGTTTCCAAAGATCAGTTTAAGTTTGTTTTCAAAAATCTTATTAAGTGGTAATGCCACAAGCGTAACTTTATGATCACCGCCTACATTTTAAAAACGAAAATTGACTTACAGGTGAATGCATGGGAAGCCGTCTTGTTCGGAATGGGCACAGTGGCAGCCGTTTTCTGCATAGCAGCTTTGCGCGATATCGGATTTCACCAAATGAAGAGAGCTTTAGAGCTGGAACATTTATTACTCCTCGTTACACAATGCGGTGTATTTATGTACTTTTTATTCCAAATAATCGGCGCAGTGCTCATGGGACTTAACAAAGGCAAAGGAGGTATAATGAGGTAATACACCCTCGTGAAATAATCGCTCCCGCCCGACAATTGATTTTTTCAGGATAATCACACCGCTTTCGGCTCTCATCCAGAGCTCTTGCCAGACCGTTTTGGTGCTGGACGCTTGGAGAAGACGCTGCAGCACAGCGACACAGATGCGCCTCAAACCCGGCAGACAGCTGATTACGTTTTTACTTGTTGCCAACATAGCTTTGTGGATGGTCAACAGACTGAAAAATAATCGGTCGGTGTCGCATCCCAACCAAATGGATTTCTATGGAGTGCTGGCATGGAATATCATCACGCATGTGACAATGCCGTTGGTGGTATCTTATCGGTTCATGTCGAGTGTATGTTTCTATGAAGTATGGAAACATGTGTATAAAACGAGACCTGTTAACGAAAAGGATCCAAATTTATAACAGTTTTAGTTGTACTAACTGATTATTAAATAAATACATTTAAATCTACGATCTATTTTATAACCTGGAAGGACATGCTTTCAAATGATAGTTTAAGTTTGAGGTTTATCCGAGAAGCAGCAAACCCTCCCAAGCAAAGTTACAGTCTTCGTTACAGTCACTTCCATGAGATTTTATTGATAAACTCGTAGAAACAAATTAACTTTTAACTAAAAAGAATCTCACTCATTTTCAACATATTTCTACAAGCAATCGAACGAAGGTTCATGTCAGACATGAAATTTTCGGAATTAATAACTACCTCGATAAATATTATTAACAATATTCAGAAATCTAATCAAACATACTTACTTGACATATTTTCTATACTAAACTTTTTTATACTTACTTTAAACCTAAAGAATTTTTAAACTATCATAAATCTGAAGTGAAAAAAATACCTTCATCTGTTTCTTTAACGGTAGTTTTTTACATTCTCGACGTAAGCTAAGCAAGTATTGCGATATAGTCCATCCGGTAAACGGCTACTTTCATATTTCCTCGACGTTTCATTTTTAGTGTTTTAGTTTTTCTATACAGAAGTCATCAAAAGGAAAGTTAGCAAAATGAAATGTTAAAATTTTTCAAAGAAGCGGAATTTGTTGGACTGTACTTTAGGGACGAAGAAAGTTCTGTCGGAATAAGCTTTTTCACTTCTGAAATAAGAGTTGATATCATAAAATAAATACAATTTATATACCTACATACATATTATAATTTTTCAAAAAAACTGGTTTTGTCGGATTATAGTTAAGGGGTGAAAGAAGTTCTGTCTAAATAATTTTAAATTTCTTTTTAATATATATCTGAAATACTTAAACGTAAAATAAATCTTAAAAAAGCTACAAGCTGCAATAAACGAAATTAACAAAATACATTATAATCTGCTGTAAACATATAATATTTGACCGTTTTTCAAAAACTTTGTAAGCTATATAATTACTCTTACTTTAACTAACCGAGATAAACTACTTAAAATCTCCCCGAAGTGTGTACGTCAAATAAGTTCGAAAAGCACACAGTTGTTAGTAAATCAAATCGCGAAGCGAACCTAATTTTGTAGTGAATGAAGACAGTTCAAAAGCCAGTGTTACAGAAAAGAAACAAAAGACCGACTCTCGAACACAATGGCTGCTCTGAAATAAAAGTAAACTGAAGTGGACAGTATGGGTGAGGAAACTCCACAAGGGGGCGCTATTATAGAACGCAATCAGGACTCCAGTGCAGTCACCCGGTAAAAAGACTAAACTCCAAAATCTCATTCGGTTTTTGCTTGTCACTCTTCACACCGTATTTATGTTGCAGCATGTTTACTTCTTACACAATTACCTTTACAGCGAAAACAATTTCCTACACACTCATGACGGGGCTTTAGTGCCCGAATTTTTCACGAGCTTCACTAAATCAAATAACGTGTAGGAAGCGTCACGAAGAAACAAATTCTGACAATAATCAGAATTTATCGGAGCAACTTTCACAAACTTCGTCGGGAACAGGCAGGCCTCGGTAAAGTCAATAACCGATTTAAGATCTTGCACAGATAATTAAAGTCAAGTAATTAGATGTTAACTAATGAAATGTGCTTTGAATGACTTTATTTTAATAAAAGCGATCGCTACGTTCACACTAAATGATACTAAGAGAAGGTGAAATAGGAAATAAAGGTTAAAAAACAACCACATAATTACACTTAAGGATTCACTTTATAAAACGCGATTGTTACTCAAAATTCGGATTAAGTTATTAGTTATTACACTCTAAAATGGTGATCACGTTTTCTCGGGAATGAACAAATACAATTTTTGGCAATACAAAGTCTAGCCGTACAACTTTTTAAGAAATCAGTGAACTCTACCGCACTTAAAATAATCACACTACGAAGTAATGTTAAAATTAAAAATAATTTTTAACAATAAGAATGTGGTTACGATATTAGGGAACTTATGTAGTAACAACAGGAAAAATTGTGAGCTGAAAGCTTTCACCTTTAGCACATCAAGAAAGTATACTGTTTATTTTAGAATGTTAAATTAGAATTCACGTATAATAAAGTGACAGAAAAAAAATTACGAAATACATCCGACATTGTACCATAGGACAAGCACGAGTGCGTTAGGTAATTCACATGAATTTATTTAAGAAATACGTGCACCGTTCAAACTGCAAATTAGAATACCTTATTGGTGCCTTACCTGTAACATAAATATTCATACTGAAACTCCGTACACACCTTTAGAATTATGTAAGCTTCCTACTAATTTAACCACCCCTACAGATCTTTTATATAATTCTGATCGTTATCGAATACAAGAAATAATTTAATTAGGAGTATTAATCCATTTAAAGGGTCGAAGGAGTCTTTTGTAGTACAAAAGATCTATAGCTAATGATTCATAAAAATATAACTAAACCACGTTACGTTTACAGTAATTAGTTAGTTAATCTCGTAACACTGAAAGTGAGAAATAATCTGTACAATACAATAAAAAACTTAAAATAAACAAAATGAAACTTATTTTTAAGAAATTATAAAGACTAACTGCTTTAAATAAATATCAGTAATCTTTATGACATCTTGTACCCATTTCCAATTATATAATCCTAGTTGGTTCTCTATGTATCTAAACAATACAGATTTTGGAACACGAGCAGTTGAATCATTAATTATTTCTACCTTTTCTGGTATGAAAAAGGAAGTTCGCACAATGCTAAAATCATTGCTATCGTTACGAAGTGAGAGTTCACTAATAATTTATGGAATCAAGCTGAATCAATTTAGAAGGAACTCAGTTTAGAAAAATATCGCTTGGATGAAAACGAAGTACTGCTATTAAAATTAAATGATGCACATACATTAACTACCTTGATCAATACGATTCGCCACAACACGTGTAAAATGCAATACTATTATAAAACATTATGAATTCGAAAATATATTGCTGTACAAAATGAAGGAAAAATATAAAATTTTATTAAATAAAGTACACGATGATCACCCAAGATTCATTGAAATGTTTAACTAAATTAATGACGGCAGACTTATTATCCTGAAATCACAGGAAAATTCCCTTACGTCTTTTCTGAACTTATAAACATCTGACAAAATTATTTTTAGTAACATCTAGCGTAGGTGCTGCGTTGGTAAAACCCTTTTCTGTAATATCTAAAACGATTATGCCTTAACTTTGTAATATTTACTAGGACGTGAAAGAGATTATACCACTTACACATTTTATGTACCAATAAAAACGAAGTACATATCATATTTACATGTTAATGGGGTTTATAGATTAAAAATTTTCTTAAAATCAACGTTAATCAATCAACCGTTTTAGATGATAAATTCTAAGAAAAGATTTTCTATTGATTCAGGATTCAGCAGAAAAAAAATTTTATTGAATCATGAAGAATAAAATTCCTCGTCATCGATTTACATTGTTCATTGAATAACATTTGTATCGTCAGCTATTTAAAATTTTTGGATATTGTCAATAGTAATATCCCGAGTGCATGTCAAATTGCCAACAATTTTTATTTTCTCCAGATAATTTCTTATATTTAAACACTCATTACATTTTCAAAATATGTAGTAAAAAAGGAAAGCTTTTCGGGATTATTTAGATTACTATAAAACAACTGTACAAAGCCAAATTACAATAAAATATCAGTAAAGAAAATTATTCATAGAAGTGAACAATGGATACTGACAGCAATCGCGGTGGATCCTATGCAATCCCTTTTTCTTGCCTCTCCATTTTATGTATTGCGTTAGCGAAAAATGCAGCTTTGGAACGGTTATCCTCCAAGTAAAAAGAAGTGCACGAGAATCATTATAAAAAATTTACGGGGTGGCACAAGGTACAAAAAGCCAGCTCTCTTCCTAAAAATACGATCAGCAGTTTAAATTGTGAAATATGTATTCCAATCGATACTAGAAAATATAAGCTTAAACCATATCTGAAAAATCAATCAAAAAACTTGAACTAAAGAAGTAATAAATTGGTTTCTTTCTTGAGGACCAAATCAATAATGTCGACATTAATTAGTTCGCTATAAAAAATAGTTAAATATAAAAAAAACATGACGCCTATGGGTTTTCTCGAGGGCTTTCCGGAATGTACTGCAATGATGGATGACTCATCGAGGTAATAGCGGCCGGACGGCGTTCGCTAAAGAAATGCCTGGAAGCAGAAGTCACGATGGGTACTCCAAAAAAACTTCGATCGCGGAATATCCAAAACGGAAGTATGGGTTTAAATAGAGGCCATTCATTCAACGAATGGAGTCCAGACAATTACAAAAGTAGAGTCTAGTCAAATCCATTCCAGTCGAATCGGAGCTATTCTGTACATAATCGCTGTATAGTTAGTCATGTAGTTTTGTATTACCGAGAAATAAATTGTTGAGTTTTACACACGCTAATTTTTAATTACCGGGAAACGTAGCAAAATTGAGGTTTCTAGAATTTGAGTTTACTATCTCTCTTTAAAACGTTTTGAATGGTCAAAACCCTTGCAAAATTTGCTATTGAGTATGAATTAAATATAACCTATCTTTGTTTTCCCCTCATGTCAAACTTCATATTTAATACTACGGTGTTGTTAATTGTATTTTCAAGTTAGAATGCAGTGTTGGTGGTTTTTTAATTTTGCCAAATATTATGTATACACGATATTTATAACATACATTACAATAGATCGTTAGCTCACGCTCGGGAAGAAAAAAAGAAACGCTATAAACACGTACAAAAAACAAAGATGCCAAAAAAATCCCAACGAACAAGGAGATGAAAAGATCAAAGAAGTGAGATTTTTCTACTTTAGCAACATCTCAAGATTACACTACAATTAATACAAGCTATGCTTCTTATTCAGAACATTGAACGAAAAAGATTTTGGTCGGTATTATTTTCCTTTAATGAATATTTTGTTTTGTCTGATAAATGCTTTTATCGTATTTTGTCATTCATTCTAACAAAATTTTATCTAATGAATGGCTCATTATGATTA